CCGGCTGCAGCGTGCCGCGGTGGAACAGAAAGCACAGCGCTTCAGGGGAGCGTGCTCCCTTCGTTAGAGAAACACAGAAACGGCGAAACAAGGGAGGAGCGGGGAGAGCTGCTGTTTGTAAATATCAATGAACCGACAAAGGAGCCATCTTCCCCGAGTGCAGCGGCATACCATTAGTGTCAATCATCTTTAACTTCTGTCAGGTTTTTCACTCAAATCCCAGTGTTTTGGCAGGGTAGACTAAGCTTTACATCCAAACCCTTCTGTCAAGCCACGATGATATTGCAAAATGCTGCGTGCTGTACAGTAATAGCCCCATTTACCGAGTCTGCGGATTGCCACTGAAATCTCTCTTGTTTGAGAGGCAGATTTCAGCTGAACTTCCACCCGGTCTACCTGCTTCTGCCTTTACAGATAAGATGGAATTTTACTGTAAAACATTTTCTTTCAAATCTAGCGTTACGTGCAAACTCTGTTAATTTTTAAAAACCGAGCAGCTGTTCTGTTCAGACAAGCACGATATACTTTACAGCAGGTTAAGTTCATAGATAGATTAATAATAGCGGGTGTCAGTGAGCAGGAAAACAAACGGTGTACGTGATTGATACTGTTTTCTTTCACAGGGCAGGAATTTGATGTCAAAGCCAAATGTGTTATCAATGCTACGGGACCTTTCACAGACTCTGTGCGCAAAATGGATGATCAGGAAGTACCAAACATCTGTCAGCCAAGCGCCGGCGTGCATATTGTCATGCCTGGTTATTACAGGTAACGATATTCAAAGCCTAAACCGTCTGTAACAATCTCTGCTGGGGTCTTTAATAAATAAGCTTGCGGAGACGCGTTTGTGGGTTTTACGGTAGTTTTGAACGCACAATTTGATTCTTTGGGTTTGGGGGGTTTTTTAAAGAGGATTTCTGGCACCCTGCCGATTAGAAGAACAATTTCCTATATTCAGAAAAGACTGAAGTCTTGTAGTTGTTAGTTAAAACTCACCCAGGCGGAACTCCCGCTGGGGCAGAAGGGCGTTTAGGCAGAGCACCTACAGCAGGCTTGTGAAAGGCACCTTTCTTAATAATGAGTTTGAGTTGAGCGTAGCAACTGCTTGTTCACCCCTCTTAAGAAAACAAGAAGCGTATAAAACCTTCCAGAGAGGTTGCCACCTTCGTACAAAAACTCTTGTCCCATTAAATATGAAACTCTCTGTGCAATGACACTCTGCCACGTTACGACTCCGCTCGTAGTAAATATGAGCGCAGCATGTAGGCAATATAATAAGTAGTTCAAAATAAGTTGACGAGTAAATTCCCAGGCTGCTGTGGGCACAAGCCCACCCAGCCGTGGTGGTTTTGGTGGCAAGGACTTGCCTCCCCCTGCTGAGCCTCTCACAGAAGAGGTTCCCGTGGCGCTCTGCGGGCGCGCTCTGCAGCCTCCTGCTTCTTTCCTTGTTTGCTGCTGCAAAGCCAAATCCCCTTCTCCCAAGTAAGCCTTGTCAGTTGAAACTCAAATATTACCTTTGGTTTCTGAAGTCATTAGCATCCTAATGGAAATTCACATTTATAGACTTATCCCAATTCTGTTGATACAGTGCACTTACAATAATGCCTTCCATATCATCACCGCACTCCTCTGAATATAAATCCAGACTTCCAGTGCACGACATGTTGGTTTTGCCTGCGCTGTCCCAATAGGACATGACCATAGACTGCAAAATTGAGGCATTTTTGGCCTTCTGTTCTTTTTTTTGGTGTCTTTCCACACGAAAAATGGGAAAATGACCTGATAGCTGCTTCACAGCACCAGCAACGTGGAGGAGCGCGTTGTAATCCTCCTTTCCTCGCGTGCTATGAGAAGGACGTGTGTGATTGACTTAATGACCCTACAGCAAAAACATGTAAAGTCTTAAAACTTTGACTCACTCTCTCTAAATTCAAAGTAGAAGATGGCTTGATACGCACGAGGGCTCTAATTTGTTTATTCTTTAATAACCTAAGAATTTTAATTGGAAACGTGGAGAATTCTTGTTCTCCTTGTTCCCCTGTGTATATCAGCATGTGGGCATTACTTTTCTTGTAAAATAGTATCTTCCCACATACTGCCTCCGCAGTACAGCTGATTAGATAAAACTGTACTGAATTTCCTTGAAGTGGGATAGCTGAAACCAGGGAACTGTCTGCTACATGGAACATACTCATGGTATTTCATCTCAGTTGTATCAGGTCTTCTCCTGGTGCCAAGGAATACTCACCAACAAAGACAGACTGTCGTTTCACTGTGTCCACTTCCCTTGTGGTAAATGTTCTATAGAATTTTGGCCCATACTCGCACAAATTAACATGTTTAATCAGGTAGAGGATTTTAGATATAAACATAGTTAAGATTTTGTAAAACTAATGTTAACCTAATGCATTCATTTCCCAAGGGTTTCTGTCTCATTTATGTTCTCCGTTAATAGTCCCGGTATTCCTCCTCTCATGAATTCTATCTTTAGTGCACACATGCCTATTCTAGCAGCTGCACTTAAGTCCCTTTCGCTCCCTATTGTTTAGGTATATTATCTGCTGAAACGAGAGAGGGTTTTGGTCACCTTCCTTCAGGTAGCCTTCCTGCCTGGAACGTGTCTATGAAAGTGATACTTTTTTCCCCTCCGTTTCTGACAAATTTCAGATGTGTTCCATCTTTCTTGAGTTTTCCGATCTGCTCTGCCTTCCAGATCCCAGGGCAACTTGTCTGTTAAGCCTCAGACCTACTCTATGGAAGTCACCTGTTTGTTCTTTAACTGCATTTGTGGTGCTTTGGTCGAATGTTTCTTCAACCAGAGATCCTCCATGCATCTGCCCTGTAAAATGCCATATTTAATCTCCAGGAATGAACCACTTACTGAACCACCACAAGCTCAAGAGTTCTGCTCTGTCCTTCAGTTAAATCATCTTCCTGAGTTCAGTAGTCTATAGGTTCTTACATTCTATGTGTACGTTAGTCAACTGTTTTCAAGATTCTTTCCTGATTTGTCATACGTTCGACATACATTATCCAATTTAGCTGCACTGCTTTTTGCAAAAGGAAGCTTTTTAAAAAGTAGACATGCTCCAAACACATTCGAATGTTTTAAGTCAACTCCTAAATACCGTACTATTGCTTTACCGTGAGGTCGTGCATCGTGATGTTTGTTCTGCTGACAGTCACTTCAGATCCACCTGTACAAGACCATTTGCCACTATATTGCTATGTAAAGGCATCGCTTTGTACTTCATATTAGAGTTTACAATCCTGAACTTACCCATTTTAGTAGTCTTTAAAGATTGCTAGAGAAATCTTATGAAGGCCGATATTGCTGTAGCTCATACACATTCTCACATCCGTTCTGTAATCTTAAGAATTTGTGTATTATAAACAACACGTTGTTTCAGAAGTATTCCTGGTGTGCAGCAACATGACTCCAGAGGCTTTCCAGAACTGCCAATATTTGGGTGTTAAGAAGATTCTTTTTGTTGGGAAACACCTTATTTTACACAGGGGCACAATCCCCCCTCGCCCTGCTGGCCACGCTGCTGGGGATGCAGCCCGGGGTGCCGGGGGCTCACTGGGCTGCCAGCGCACATTGCCGGCTCGTGTTGAGCTTCTCACCCACCAACACCCCCAGGTCCTTCTCCTCAGGACTGCTCTCCAGCCATTTCCCCCCAGCCTGGAGCTGTGCTGGGGATTGCCCCGACCCACGTACAGCACCTTGCGCTTGGCCTGGTTGAACTTGATGAGGTTTGCACGGGCCCACCTCTCCAGCCTGTCCCGGTCCCTCTGGGTGGCGTCTCTTCTGTCCAGCGTGGTGACCGCACAACACAGCTTGGTGTCATCGGCAGACTTGCTGAGGGTGCACTCAACCCCACTGCCCATGTCACCGACAAAGGTGTTAAACAGCACCAGTCGCAGTACCGAGCCCTGAGGCACACCGCTCGTCACTTGGCCGCGGAGCCATTGACCACAGCTCTGAGCGCGCCCCTCCAGTTCCTCACCCACCCAGTGGGCCGTCGTCAGATCCATGTCTCTCCAATTTAGAGACACGGATGTTGTGCGGTACAGTGCCAATGCTTTGCGCAAGTCCAGGTAGATGATGTCCATCGCTCTTCCCGTACCCACCAACGCGGTAACGCCGTTGCAGAAGGCCACCAAACTTGTCAGGCCCGATTTGCCCTTAGTGAAGCCATCCCTTGCTGTGTAATCCAACTGAAAACACTTCAGGCCATAGCTGTTGGGGTGGAACTTAGTTTAAGTCTTTACTTATTTCTCTTCCTTATTTTTAACAGTTTTTATGAAATCACATTAAAATCATACTTTTGAGAAAATGTCTAAAGTTTTCTGAATATTCTGATACTGTATATTAAATCTCTAGTTTCCTCTGTCTCTAAATCAATAGCTTTTTCATTTTAAAAAGTAATCATTTGTCTGACGTGATTTACCTTTCACAAATCTGTGTTGACTTCCCCTATTAAATTGTACTTCTCCAACTGTATGCTTAAGCGGTCTATAAATATCATCTAAAAAATGTTCTAATATACATGCTATATATGAAATTTTCAGCTTCTCTTCTAGCCTTTTCAGATATTGAAAACTTACCTTCAGTAATCAGTTTAGACTTCCTAAAAATGAAATATTCAGTGGTTCAGCTTGCGGCTCTCTTGAATAGCTAATCCATATCCAAGCAGGTCTTTGTCTTCCTTCAGCTTACTGGGTTAGGAGGTATTTGAGTCCATTGGATTATTCCCGGCTGATGGTCCTTATTACCGCTTAAATATATACCTCCTGTCCTCCTTCCAGACGCTTCTATATTCTCCTTCTGTTATCAGGAATAGGTGCAGAACCCGAAGACTGCTGAACTGACTGCGCATGTTTTTAGAAGGACTTCCAGCACCTGCAATGAAAGTCGGCATCTTTCCTTTAAATAAAAATGAACACGAAAAAGAAAGGCAGCTTAAATGTTTTCCTACATAAAAGCTGTTTACTTTGAAGTGTTTATAGAAGCTTTTGTTTTCTGAAAAAGAAGCAGAGCTCTTTAATAAGTTATGAGGATAACTGGGGTTTGTACCTGTGGATTTTTATTTTTTTTTTGTTACATTATAGCAGAAAACATTGATGCATAAATTAAAATTTCCTGTACGAAGAATTAAATCATTCTGTTTGTAGCACTGGCATAAACACAGGAAAAATCTCTGAATAGTAGAATCCAGTTAGTGTCTCTCTTGCCTTTTTTTTCCCCTCAAAACACAGTTCCCCATTCAGGAGAGCGAGAGCCGGGAGCTTTCGGAGTGTGCTTCTTGGTCCGAACCCCTCGGGAGTCTGCGGGTGCGCGTTCCCGATGGAGTGGCGGGCTGTAGTGTCACTGGACTTTACTGTTTCAGTGTCCTCATAACCCGTAGGATGTCAATGCCGCTCTTCTCTTCTTTCCTCTACTTCTTCTTTCTGTTGCTAAACCTTGTCCCTCCCGCCCCGCCTTTACTGCGAATGCAGGTTGTAGAAGCCATTGGGATTTTGTTTGGTTTTACTTTTGCCCTCTGTTTAGGGCACAGACAATTGATAACGGGTTAATAATATTTCATCTTTAATTTTTCTTGTTATATACTCAGAGGCAGCCAAACGGAACTAGAGTTCTGTTCTTATTTCTTCCATTTTAATGCGCTTCTGTTTCAGCCTTCCCTTTCCTTTGTGGCATAATACAAAGGATTGTCCGTTTTTTGTTTAAAAGCAGTTGTGTATTCCATAATGAGTTTCAAGTAATTGCTGTTTTAAAATTTCCAAATGTTTGTATTTGAAATTCCAATGAGCAAGATTTTCCAGAGTGAATGGAGATGGGAGATGCTGTTGCTCGATGTAAGGTTGTGGTCTGCTAACTTTCTTAGGAAACCAAACTCTAGTAATACCTGGGCATCACATTCAGGGGCCTTATTCCTCAAAACTTCTGGGACTCCCGTTTAAAGTCAGGTCATGGCCGCATGTGAAATCTCTGATTCTATTTTTTTATTGTTATTATTTTTAAAATTTTTGACCTAAGAACAAAGGTACCGTTCTAATCCTTTACCTGGGGTACAAGGTGTGCAAGAACAGAATCCCGGTGACGCCTGACGTGTTTTTAACCATGTCCCTTCTTTATTTCAGCCCTGATAACATGGGTCTGCTTGACCCAGCCACCAGCGACGGTAGAGTGATTTTCTTCCTGCCCTGGGAGAAGATGACTATCGCAGGGACCACAGACAGCCCCACTGATGTTACTTCCCATCCGATACCAACAGAAGAAGACATAAACTTCATTTTGAATGAAGTGCGGAACTACCTTAGTGTTGATGTTGAAGGTAAGCCTTTGTCAGCTCCGGGGAGGTGCTGCTGCGGCTGTGGCGTTCCACTGGGGGTAAATGCTGTCTGTCTCAAGTTTTTCTGTGACTCTGGTAACTGGTTCTTGTGCATCTGGGTGTTTCTAAACTGGTGGGACGTAAGCGTCATCATGATTTATGTATCAGAGCTAAAAATGATGCTTTTCCACGTGTACCTGCACGAGTTGGACTATTTAGATGGACGTGAGTTGATGTCTGCGTGCTGAGTGTTCGCGTCCCTCTGGTCTGAGGGCGCCGGCTGCACAGCACTCCCTCCGCGCTCCCTGGGTGGCAGAGGCAAGGTTTGGCAGAACCGGGGCAGTTCGGGCGTACATCAACACAAGTACATCAAATACTTCACCTGCTTTTCTTGAAGGAAAAGTTGTTCTGACTTTTCCATTGTCTTTGTTTTTATTTCCATTTTTCTGGGTACTTTATTCATAGCACGTACTTTTCTTGATCTGGTAAATATCCAGTAGTGTCAGTTTTCCATGGGAGAGGAAAGTATAATGGGCAAAAAGAAGAATTTATGAAAGTTACTTGGTGGCGTTGTTCCCTTCGGTACCCGAGCTGAGAACACATTGGGTGTACGATGCTGGACTGCTCTGACTCAGCGCCGGCTTAAAAGAGAGGGGCTTCTTTCCTTCGTAGCGAGGTTTTTACGTTATTCTGTGCAAGCACTTGTACTTCTATATTTCTGTCGTAGGAGCAGCGTTAAATAAATCTGAAAAGCACTCAGTCAGGAACGTTGCATCATCCTTAGATTTAGGAAAACTTACTGTCCGGAGGTTGGAAACACTGGGTTACTTGTTCCCTGAAGTGGGTGATGGATGGCTCTGTGTTGCATGAAGTTCCGAAAAAGTCTTCGGGAAACGTACCTTTAAGTTTCTCGAGCAGAGGTCGATATAAGTAAGCATGGTAGGTCGGAGAGGCAGCTGGGAGAGTTAAGACTGGGAATAAGGCAGAGGTTTTGCAAGGTATTTCACAGAAATACATTATGAAGTGTTTAATTCTTTTGAATGAAACCTACCTAGGTGCACGCTGTTTTTCAAATATGCAATTAGCAGTGTTTATAGATTGCTTGTTATTGAATTAACAACTGTGCTGGCCATATCAACCCACTGCAGACCTGCCTTTTTGCTGCCAGAGACAGTGCCAGGGTTATCAACTTACACAGGCTTGGATGTGTTCCAACTGTTTAATTATAGTGTCACGCATGCTGCTTTTTCTAGTTTCATTAGTTTATAAACGTAATATGGTATCTTATTTCTGTGATTAACACTTCATTTTGGCAGGTTAAACATGCTGGCAGAGCACCATTGATTTCTGAAATCTATTCTCTGTTCTTTGGGGGATATTTTGACACCCTTTTACTGATTTTCAATTATCATTTATTTGAAAGTTATATAAAAAAAATGTTCCAAAGACTTCAGTGTAAAGCAAATCGGTCAATTTTTCTATTGCAAATTTAATAAGCAACAAAACTAATTTCATTAAATTCTCTATTGTTCCCATGTTTTTACATATTAAAAAAACCCCGACTTTTGGAGGCTGAGGTGTTTCCCTGCCACTGTTAGGGGCTTTTGTGACTCCTTGATGCTTTCAGGTCTTCCTCCGAGTGTACTGAGAAGTCGGGGTTGGCTTTAGGAGTGTACTTGTAACTGCACAGGAAGGAAAAAAACAGAGAAGGAAGGGTGGCGCAGGGGGGGGGGGGGGAAACCAGTAAATGACCATTTAGACAGGCTTCTTGTGGAGCGGGACCAGCTCTCTGAAGCAGGGATAAGCAGGAGGAAGAGAAGGCAGCGTGGGAAGAGGTGGGTGTGCGAGAGATGCTGCGTTAGAAGTCGGCAGGGCCCTTTTGGGTTGCTGTGCGGTAACAGACGCTGGCGTGGGATACAGGCTTTGGGGATGTGCTACAGCCGACCGCAGCCGGGCCAGGAGATCTTCTCGTGTATATGTGTAACTGCGCTTCCGATAAAGGCTCTGGGTAAAGATCACTTGTCAAGAGGAAAACTTGGAAAAATCACCTACAAGCTAGAGAAAAAGCTTTGAAGTCTTAGAAGCAAGTGTTACTCTCGTGTGGAACAAACTTTGTTATCTTTCTAAAATATAATGTAAGGACTGTCCTGTTGGCACAAGGAAACACAGAGGAGACTTGGTGCCCGGGACTGGGTGTTTTGGCTTTGGTGGGGTTTCTTTTTTGGGTTTGGGGGGTTTTGAGCTGATGGGTGAGTTTGACAGTTGAATCTCTCTTGGTTGATCAGTCTCCAGGATATCTCTATTCTGTTGGATTTTTAACCAGCGTGAATAACAGACCTCTCTGTCTGTGGCTTTGTTTTGGGCTGGAGAATATTACTGATACCGATCAGGGCAGTGCTGTTTCCAGTTCTGTAGCCCAGCTTATGTCATTACTTTGGAGAATCTTCTCCAGCTTTGTGAGTTGCTTGACGAACAAGCATGGCGTGGTGCAGTCCTTGTTCCACAGCGAGTATCTACTCAGAGGCAATGCCACAAAGACCACGGGAGGGATAGGAGATAAATACCCATCAGTTCCTGGCTGACTTTGGCTGACCTTTGCTTCCGGACAGTGAGAAGAGGAGACGTGTTGGCAGCGTGGAGTGGCATTCGTCCTCTGGTCACAGACCCCAACTCCAAAGACACGCAGTCGATATCCCGGAATCACGTCGTTACCATTAGCGATAGTGGCCTTGTCACCATAGCAGGTACTGAAAGTTCTCTTAAAGTGTAGCTTTGTTGGGCTTCCCCAGTGTATTTTATTCCAAACTCCTCTTGTTACAGCATAATCCTTCAAGTTCCTAGAACTAGATAATGATCTTTCAGCCGTAGCACGACTGGCTTGTTGGAGCAAGTCTAGTAAGAATAATGCAATCTATAAAACCTCTGTAGTACCTACCAACTTTGTGTTCCCCTTCCTTTCTCCAAATAAAAAGTAAATGTGGGGTTACAGGTGGGAAGTGGACAACCTACCGTGCCATGGCGCAGGACACCATTGACGCAGCTATTCAGGCGCATGATCTGAAGGCAGGTTCCAGTAAAACTGTTGGACTGCAGCTACAAGGGGCTGAGGAATGGAGTCCCACTCTTTACATTAGGTTGGTCCAAGATTACGGACTTGAAAGCGAGGTGAGTCATGGTTTGTGTTGATGCTCTGATGTTTCTGTGGTGGCGGGTTTTGTTTTTTCCACTAAATCTAATAGCGGCATGACTTGTACACAGGTCTGTTGAGCCTGATACGGGCTTATTATCTGGCGGGGGCAAAGATAGTTTTAACAAAAATAAATTCTCGTAATTGTTCTTCTTTTCTTCCCTTTTTCCTTCCTCCTAATCTCCGCTATTTCCTGCTTTGAAATGTTACGGCATGCTAGGGTCTGCCTGCCCTTGAGCCCAACAAAATCTCTGCTTCAGTGTAGCAGAAGTGTTGGAGCATCAGCAGTCACAGTTACGTTGGTACATACGTAGTGGTGTCAGCGCTGGTCTAACACGGCGCTGGTCACAGTGCTGGTCACAACACAAGGTGTTTTCTCCCACGCAATCAAAATCTAATACCTCCTTCAGCTTATTTGCTATTGTTAAGAAGAGAATTGACAAGAAAAATCTATGTATATTTGATGTGGAAAGCATGTGGAATTCATTTTCAACTCCACAGGTGGCTCAACATCTAGCTTCAACGTACGGTGACAAGGCTTTTGAGGTGGCCAAAATAGCCCAAGTTACGGGAAAGAGATGGCCTATTGTTGGAAAACGTCTTGTGTCTGAATTTCCTTATATCGAAGCTGAGGTATGTGGAAAAACTACGTAATGTTTTTTGATTCTCTTCTTGGGATAAGCAGGTTCTCAAGCAGGTCTGTCTCACTCTGTAAAACAGCTCCATAAGCCTTTTCCTTTGGTGAGGTCCAGGGGTTTTTTCTGTTCTTGTTTTTCCCCTTCCCCAGAGCGTGCTTTATTTGTTATGTTTATATATACACATACTAATGTATTTGTAGATAATTACTTACATTTAAAATCTGTTTTTTATTTCATATATACATGTTTGATCCCAGATGCGTTATTTATAAAATGTTCCAAGGAAGGAGGAGTTCTTCAGACCCTTTTCTTGGCTGGGTGGGAACTGGTTACAGACAGTTCATTTTATGTAGCCAGCGCAGCAGTGCGGTTTGTGATGCTAAACACAATTTCTGACAATGCTGCTCTGCTTTCTCATCTGCATTTTTCCCCTTCTCTTATTGTTCTAGGTTGTCTATGGTGTTAAAGAGTATGCCCGCACAGCAGTGGATATGATTTCCCGACGTACTCGCTTGGCCTTTCTGAACGTGCAGGCTGCAGAGGAAGCCCTGCCAAGAATCGTAGATATAATGGCGAAAGAACTTAACTGGAGTGAGCAGAAAAAAAAGGTACAAAGGGCCTTTTTCTTCTGAAACCGTTTTGTTTTACTTAAGTTGTTTCCATGTTAACGATCTAAATTAGTTGAATAGAAAACTTCAGGCGATGCTTTCGCCCGGAGAGAATGATTCATTTGATGTATTTCATTATAAAGACTTTATCAAAATAGCTGTGAAATGAGTTGGTATTGGCTGGGGGTGGAGGGGAAAGTGAAGATCTGTATCCTGTTGCTCCCCAACTCTACAAATGAAAGCAGACTCGGCATTACTTCCTATTCCCGTTCAAATATTGTGTTTACTGACACTTTTCAACAGGTCTGCCTCAAAAAAGGAGGATCTTGTAATCGGCGTCACTCCTTTTTGTCCACTGTGTCTTTTGACAGGTGGCAATAGGGGGTTTGCACCGGTCTCTGCCCTACATTACTGTTGAAGGACGCTGTTAGCTTCCTTTGCGGCCCGCGGCTCTGTGCTCAGACATGCAGTGTGGGACTCGGCTCGCTTTCCTTGTGGCGTCGGTAACGGGCTGGCTCTATCCAAGCCGGTCTCTGTATGCCCGCTCTGCAGTAAGCAAACTTCGCTCAGACGGCTTACCTTGATGAAGGCATCTGCTGTGCACACGTTTGTTTGCACCCTACAGCCTTGTTTAGGTCTCCACAAACTGTCAGGAGTCCCTTGGATAACTAGCTTAGATGTAGACATCCCCCGTGCTGCCATGAGTCCTGTCCCTTCTGGGCTATCACATCACGTCAGTTACCAGTGATCACTTCTTCCTCTTGTCACAAAAAGGCAAATGCCCGGAGTGCTGGCGGCTGCGCTTGTAGTGCTGTCCGGAGTACGGCGGAGGAAAGGCAGTGCGAGGGGGACAAGAGGGAACGGGCACAAAGGTGACCATCGGCAGTTCCATCTCCACCTGAGGAGGGCCTTCTCTGCTGTGAGGGCGGCAGAGCAGTGGCAGAGGCTGCCCAGAGAGGTGGGGGAGTCTCCCCCTCTGGAGCCATCCCAAACCCGCCTGGACGCCGTCCTGTGCCACTGCTGGAGGTGCCCCTGCTCTGGCGGGGGGTTGGACTAGATGATCTCCAGAGGGCCCTTCCAACCCTGACCGTTCTGTGAGTGCTGTACCCAAACGGGACACGTGGTTTGGGACTTCTTTCACTCTGAAGCAAACAGAACCTGTGAATGCTCAGCTAGCTCCTCCTCTCCAAAGGGGATGGGAAGTTTCCCTTGGACTGCTCATGAAACCTCTTAGCCACTTAGAAGTTTGGATAATGCTCTGGCAGGAGCACGTTTGAATCCTGCCAGCCAGAGGACCTGCTGTGACCCTAAAGCCTCCCCACAAGAACGCACGAAGAACTGTGAGCTGTGTCACTTGTATGTAGAGCAACCTCATGGCCAGTGGTGCTTGACTGAAGGTAGAGGTGTCTCACCCTTACTCAGTGAGGTCCGTTCGTATAATAATTTACCATGTTAAACAAAGCTATATCAATCCCTCCGTGACAATAGATTAGAAAATGGGAAGTTTGCAAAGCAAAGAACTTGAAAGCAGCGTGACGTGAGGGTTGGGTGGCCAGCCCGCGCTCCAGCAGCCCGTAGCCGTTAGGCACCCCTTCGACCAGTACTGCGTGTGCCCGTAAGACCTGCAAAGCCCTCTGCGGCTCCTGGGAGCTCACTAACGCCAGCGAGGCAGTCTCTGCATTCCCTGAATGTCCGCCGGCGCTTCTTTTGGAAAAGTCTCCTTTTCTTTCAAAGTGGATAACCCCCTCCCGGGGTGTCGAGCATCTCTCCTGGAACCCGGCTTGGGCCGTTCCGAAGCGCTGTGTTTTTACAGCATTCGTGCACGTGCTGTATTTCCGCTTGACGGACGAGGCAAATCAATGCCTATCCAGAAGAGCGTTCTTTACCTTAGATCTTTTAGTGAGAGCATTAAATTAGTCTTTGTCGGTGTGGGACTGTAGGGCTGATTCGTGTGCTTACACTGGAGCATGTGAGAGTAGCCCAGTTTGGTTTAGTTGCTCTTCAATACGCCTTCCCGACCCAGTCTGTGCTACATGAAGTGGCTTATATGTACGTGCCTAGGAATCTTTTACTGCTGCCGCGGCCGTTCTTCGCACGCTTCCTCCAGTTTGTTACCGGCAGCGCGGGCTATTTAATATCGGTGCTCCCTCGGCAGGCGCTTGTATCGCTCTTCCAGCCGTGTTTGGTGCACCCGTCGCTGCAGAAGGAGCTCTGGTGCACGGCGCTGCGTGTGTGTCAGGCGTTTGTCAGTTATTAAAAAACCGGCTGTGGAAGACCTTGCACTGAACTTTCAGGTAATAAATTAAGAAAACGAGTTTAAAACATAAAGAGCCTGCCTGGTGTCGGGCCTCTTGGTTTCTGCGCCGATTTTGGACAGTTGGGTGCAACGCTGCACGAGATAGCAGCGGTGAGTTACGTGGCGTTTTGGAGGCCGGACCTGCAAGTGCGGTTGTTGTGAAAGCAGTGGGTACGCCCTGCGCGACTGACAGCGTGGGATGGGCCTGCAAGCATTTACACGGGAATTACAAGTTTTCACCTGACTTGATAGCTCTTTTCAAGACTAAAAAGTGCCTAAGCTTAACTTATTTTTTCCATGCTTCCCAGCTACCATCTGCTGAATTTTTGGACCTTAGGTAAATTGTAGTTAAGCGGAAGAAACTGATAAATACTACGTGAAAAATAATTGTGTAAGAACTTGCTATGCCTCAGAAATACAGTTTTTCTTTTTTGTTGTAGGAGGAATTTGAAGCTGCTAAAAAATTTCTCTATTATGAAATGGGCTACAAAGTAAAATCAGATCAATTAGCAGACAGCTCTGAAATCAGCCTAATGCCTTCAGATATTGAAAGGTAAGTGAAGTAAGAGAGTTCCCTGTGCTGCTGGGAATTAACACCTGTCACTCTGCTGAGTGCAGTTTTTCCCACTGATAATCCTTATCTTGCAGGTACAAGAAGCGATTCCACATGTTTGACAAGGACAAGAAAGGGTTTATTACTATACTGGATGTGCAGCGTGTCCTGGAGGTAATGTTTTCTTGTGTTCTTTTAGTTTCCTTTTTAAGCCTCTTATCTGAATTTCAGAGTGCGGCATAAATAGCGCTGAGCAATCCAGTTGACATACTTCTGTGCTTTTTTTCTCTTTGTCTAGAGCATCAGTGTGCAAATTGCTGAAAATACACTTCACGATATTCTAAATGAAGTGGATCTGAACAAAAACGGACAGGTTGAGCTCAATGAGTTCTTGCAGGTAAGGGTTTCTTTGTTGCAAGAGAAGCTGTAAGTGCAGTGAGCAAAGGCACAGGTATTGCGGTTTCTTCTCTCTTTGCTGAAGGGCTGTTGGAGAGTGGGTGAGTGTTGAGTGATGCAGTTATCCGTTGGAAGGTATATGGCACAGTTACGCACACTGACGTGTGTCTGGGTCTGTTAAGTGATTAGTAGTTTCTAAACTATTTTGAATATTTTAAAGAAGGAGCTTGTGGCTGAAGCACAGCCGGTCCGCATAGTCCCATTTTGACCCCCGGATTGGCTAACGTTATCTCAGTTTGTATGAAGGACGCTACGTTGACGACCCATCTATCTGCTCCTTGCAGGGCTTTAAAATAAAATGAAGGGTGCTACTGAAACGTTCGTTTGCCCAGCTCCTCTCGCCTATGCGGTTTGCCAGCCGGCTTTGTTTTTGTAGAGTCGTTCTCGGTGTGGTATTTCAAGTGACTGCCATGTCTTTCCTGCATGGTGGCAATGATGAATGCCGAACATGAGATAAATTAATGCTGGGGATTTTGGTCAATGTCAGCCCTTTCTTCACTGTGTCAAGTTAAACAAACAAGATCAAGGCAAAGGAAATGGTAATTGTCTCTCTCGAGATGAGCTGTAGATAAGAGCAGCGTTGTTGAATCTAAATGCAGAAAATTTTCACAGGTTGTGTCCAGCATTGAAAAAAGGACTATTTATTTGCCTAAAACGCAGCAATTTAGCTGGGGAACGGAGACGCACTTGAGGGAAGGGGGGGTGGGGTGGGGAAAAAACCATGGGGGGAAGAAGAAACAATGGCTTTGGGCGTTTATGCTTAGGCATTCAGATAGAAGAGAAAATCACAGCTGTTTTTCTGGCTATTGAAAAGGGTCTCCCTTTTCACGTGAAATGAAAATTCCAATCCCTTTGCATGTGAAAACTTTGACTCGGTAGGGGGGACCCCACCGTTCACTGTAAGGGCTGTGTTAAACTACCGTTTGGTTAGTTTGGATACATTGTGGTTAAGAATTGAAACAACTAGTAATTATGTCTTCTGTGGATTTTTTTTGGTGGCTTTCTGGGTTTTTTGCCTTACTGTGCTGAATAGCCTCAGTAGGGTGTCCTGCCCTAAGCCAGAGTACCCGTAAAACAGAAAAGGTGAGTCACTGGTTCCGTATAGTGTCACAGTTACTGTGGTAAAACTGTGTAACTCGGTGGCTCCTGGCTTCTCCTGTGCTTTCCGCACCGCAATCTAAATATTTCCCAGCAGTGACGGGCACTGCGGTGACGCCGGCGGGTGCCTGTGCGCCTCCCCGCTGGCGGGGCCGAGAGCGGCGCACGGGGAGCCGCTGCGGAGCCCAGCGCTGGGTAGGAACTGCGGGGACAAAATTAACAGGAGGTTGCCGTGGAAGGAACCAAATACATTAAATGTCTGTTTAATTTTTTTTTAATGGCTCTGTTAAGCCAGTTCCCAATACTTTTGTGTTTGCTTTCTGAAAACTTTCAAGTAATTGCATTTTGCCGCAGAATGCTTGTGGAAAGCCATGTGCAAATATTTGGGGACGTTTACATTAGCCTGTAGGAACGGGTTGCAGCAGGGTGGCTGCGCAGCTCGCCAGGTGGGCGCAGAGCAATGCCAACGGCAGTTGGCCAATGTAGCTCAAATAATGGTCTCCTGAGAACCGGTCCCGGCAGACACCGATGCTTCCAGGTGTTCCGCAAAGAGAGAGAGGGCTGCGTCGGTCAGCGTTTCGTACAAGCGGGCTGCTCCAGCGTGGCAGGAAGGCAGAGCTGTGACGGTGGCGGTGTTTAGGTGCACGCGGAGCTGTCTTACGGCAGCGACTTTTTCTGACGACCTGCATGCAGAGGCCTTGTGCCGCTGTCATTTATGCTCAAGGAAGGAGGGGGACCTTGGGAACTAGGTTTGATACATAAAGGCAAAAAACCTCCCATGTTAAATCAGGAGGAAGCTCTTTTCTCCACAGCAGATTTCTCTTGGGGTCCTGACAGACCCACGTACCAGAAACGCTTTGTTTTCGTGGCGGTGCCAGAGGATCAGCCATTGGTTTTGTGATCACTTCCCCACAGAGTGTGCAGTACGGGCAGAGCAGACAGACACAAGACTGGTGGAGCGTGTGGACACGCAGGGCGAACGGGTGTGAGGGCAACGCCTCTCCTCGTAGGGCCTCCCTGCCCGTGCCTAGGGATCGCTCTGGAAGTGGGGCAGGAGAACGCCAAGGCCAAGCCATGGTGGACTGCCCTTGCTGGCTGTAGCTGCTGCTCTCGCGGCCGCTGGTCCTCTCCTTCCCAGCTCCGTCCCCTGCCGTGCCTCGGGGCTGCACAGGGTGACCAAGATGCCTTCAGATGCCGAGGGGCTTTCCAGCCTCGCCTGGGTCTGTAGAGCACGGGGTCACCTTCGTCCCTTCCCCTCCCGGGTGCTCCTTCCAGCTCTGGCAGGGCTGATACCGCCTTCGCCTAGGCGCAGCCGCAGGTGTAATTAATGGATTTCCCTGTAGAGGAGAAGAAATCTGAAGGATTCTTAGCGCTCAATGGGAGTAAGAAATTGCATTTTGTAAGTGCCGATTGCTTTCCATAGTAGTCTTTGACAAGCTGACTGCATGTAATTTCAAGTCTAATGCTCACTTTATCCGTGGGATAAAAAAGAATTAACTAAAATCTTAGCACTAGTGTGTGTTCGTTAAGATAGAGCCGAGTCCAGTTTCAAGGACTTAAAGGCAAATTAGTTTTAAAAGTCTATAAAGGAATTTGGATTTGAAAGAGTTGTGGAAGTCAAGTACGCTGTCTCTCCAAAGAAGGGCCTATGAATGAAAAAGGGTACGGTCAGGGGTCAGTGGTAGATCAGGAATGGTGTTCTTCTATTAGTTACATCTTTCAGATATTAAAAGGAAAAAAAAAAAAGCACTCATGAAATAGATGGGTTCTCCTGTGTTCTTAAATGTCACTGAAAAGCCCGTGGTATTGGTGGTTGTCTGCACTGTTACTTCCGATTGGATTGTGCTTGGTACTTCTGCTCCTCCTGCCACCCGTGCCTTGCCAAACCGGCACTGGTACTTCTGGAAAACCTAAATGAGCTTTGGGGCTACGGGTCTTTAAAACCATACAGCAGTTTGGCTTTGTATATGGAAAAATCATTTCTGTATCTTCATTAATTATGGTGTCTGGGAGCCCGTACCGAGTGTTAACTGGGCCGTTTGGACTGGAACTGTGCCGGTGGCCCGGGGCAGGACAGCCAGCGTGGCCGTGCGCATCTCCCGCAGAGGCGGTGACAGCCGGGGTGGCAGGCTCCGTCCTGCTCCCCTGTGCCCCTCAGCCCTACCGGTGGAGCGGGGACAGTATGGGTTGCCCTTACCCTGCCGCCCTCGGGCTGCTTGCTGCGGTCTTGCGGGGCTGCGGGGGCTACCTTTGTTCTTTGTCTTGCAAATGAGTTAAGAGGATGCTCTCCCTCTTGTGTTCGAAGCTCATGAGTGCCATTCAGAAGGGCCACGTGTCTGGAAGCCGGCTGGCGGTGCTCATGAAGACTGCCGAGGAGAACCTGCGCCAGAGGGTGGTGATTTCGGTGGACCGGAGCGGTGGGGGACTGTGAGTTGAAGCACAACGTCTGCTCGCAGCCGCAGCTAACGGGGACGCCGCGCTGCGTCTCTCTGCCGAAAAACATTCCAGTGCTTCTGATTGTCCTTGCTTGTTTGAGATGACCAGTATCTGTCCATCCGTGTAGCTCTTACAAAAATACCTTGGTGCGTTTGTTTTCACTATTAACGGTTTTCTGTACAGCTCTAACTACTCCAGTACGGGGCCTTTGGCGTTGGGTGTTCTGTAGACACGGGGGTTCATTAACAAGAGTTCAGGGATACAGTCTAGCAAGATTCGGGTGCACACCCAGCGCTCACACTGCCGCCGTCGTGACCTTTGATATCCCCTTTACCTTCAAAGAATACAGTGCGCGGAAGGCGGTCCGGCCTTTGCTGGCACGGCGCTGAGCTCTGCAAACAGGCCTTCGGTACGTAAAAGCTGCTGATGTGCCCTCGGCAACAGAGAGCGAGAGAGGGCAAGGCGCTGTTCCGCACTGGAGATGGTGGCGCGGAGGGAGCAGCGACACCTCCGGAGGCAGCGGTGACGGCCGAGGGCTGGCCGCAGCCTTCCCTCCGTGCCTGGGTCTGCTCTTCGGAGGGCTCCGGCGTTCCAGCGGTACCGACGCTTGGCCAGGCAAAGATATCGGCAGTATGAAGCTGGAAAACCGCAGGACATGGAGATTAATCACCCAAGCTAATAATTTAGTTAAAAGCTCGGGGAGAGCTTTCCTTTCTCCCACGTTAATAAAAATAAACAGCATCGTCTGGCAGGTGGGGTTTTATGCCGTGGAGCGCTTCATACTGTTGCCGGTTTTGGACAAACACTGACGACATGCACAGTATAGCAGTTTTTGATAGCGGAAGTCTTAATTGTTTATTTAGAAATTCTTAAATACAAAGTGAAACAATGAAATTTGGTTTGCATTCCACTGACTTTTATAGAAAAGTGAAAGGGCTATTTTTCAGCAGATTAATGGGGAAAAAAATGGGGGGGGGGGGGGGGGGCAACCACTCACTTGAGCTGTTTTCAGCAACGTTGTGTCTGGCTGTTTGCCGTCCTGCTCTTCGATTGCCTCGCTCAGATCAGACGGGAGATTTCTGCCTAATGCAGAACAAGGAAGGGAGAAACATAAGAATGGTTTATCGATGAATTTGTCATTCTGTTATATTCTTTGAGCATAAATACCAATTTACAACTCAAAACAAGCTTCAGTCCAAGGTGTCAGAATTTCTACTTGGGTAAAATCTGATGTATTTTAACTGCTGTCACCACTTTCGCTAATGGAAAATAACAGTACAGTAATGAACACGAAAGATTACTTTCGTATTTTAAAAGGGAAAATGATTACATACACAAAGCAGATGCTGAGGAGCGTTAGTATGTAGCATAGCAAGTACAGATGTTGTGTTTGGCTGGAGAGGCACAGTCCTTTAAAAAAAATAAAAATTCAGGTGTTTACAAATAATAGTAGATACAAAAAAAAAAGGGGGGGGGGGGCAAATCTCATTTAAAATTCAGTAAACTGTTATATTTCCTTCAGTCCAAACAGTTGGTAAAATCCAGAGGGAAGGAGGCGGTGTCGGGTAAAATGCCTTTCAGATGGTTTTTGCATGTTAATTTTTTTTTTTTGACTCTGCCTTGTACCAAAATGCAGATTTTGTTTAGGGGTTATGGCTTTTTCCCTCGGAGCGCTGTGCTGGCGAGGCACAGCCTGCGCGAGCCGGGAGTTGGCACGTTTGACAATGTCAGAATTTTTATAGGAACAAAGGGGTTTGTTTCTGGGGTCCTGTAAAGTTTTCGTTTTGAAATATGTTCCAGTATATTCAGGTAACTTATGGAAACGTTTGGCACAGCTTTGTGTTCCAACCCCCTTTTCAAATACGAACACAATAACAGATTTTATGTATAATGCTGAACTGGGGGGAAATGAACGTACGACACACGGGTTGGTTTGGTCCGGTGAGCAAGGTAAGGAGGGAAGGGCGTTAGGATTCCACTCTTAACAATAATTAAAAAAATTAAAAGTACCGAGACCTTTTCCAGGCCACGTAAAGGAAAATATTTACAATATTTAACATCTTTTGTATGGTTTCAATAAAAATTCTCCTCCGCTCCTCTCTAAATGGCACTGTTAAGAATGAATAATACAAGTTTACCTGTAAAGGCGGGATCTTCTGCTTTGTACCCAAAGTGTACTCTTTGTTCTCTTGTTTCGGTACTGCTGCCTACGGAATGCGACTTTGGGATTTTCTCGGCTCTATGTGTGTCCTCCGATACGCATTCGCTTTGCATCTTTGGCACTTCACTGTCATGCTGCTCTGCTCTCCTGCGTGGCGCAGCGCGGTCTTGTACAACTCCGTGTGTAACAGGGGGAGATTGCATGTGTTTCTTAAAACAGCTAAACCTGTACATGGAGAAAATCGAGGAGTACTTATTTATCACCTCACATTTGTTTTCAGGAGCGGTGGCTTTGGGGTTTGGGGTTTTTTTTCATGTGAATGTACTGTAGAAAGAGTTGTAAAATGTCACTGTTCTGCATTGTTCGGATCTAGGTGGAAAAACAGTAATGGGATTTTCTTTTCTTTTTTTTTTCTTTTTTCTTTTTCTTTTTTCTTTTTCTTTTTTCTTTTTCTTTTTTCTTTTTCTTTTTTCTTTTTCTTTTTTCTTTTTCTTTTTTCTTTTTCTTTTTTCTGCACGCCCGGGGAGGGGGTGTGCGCCTGCGCGTGCAGTGTGTTTCTGTAGACCTGGGTATAAAACCCGTGTGTGTGTACGTACACACACCCCTACGCGCCGCGAGTGTGACACGGGGCACTTGGGTGTTTTGTTCGGCTCCTGCTCTAGACTGAATTGTTAAATACTGTGTTTGAGGCTGGGTTGTCATTTTTATAACTGTCTTGGTGTTTTACTGCCGTTATTTATTACTTTTGATATACAGAATGAGCCGCATGCATTTATAGAGCAATAAGAGGATGTATTTAATGTGCCTTGTTTTTAACTGAGTAAGAACTGAAAGCATGAATCAATAAAACTGATTAAAAACGGTCCCTTCGCTGGCAGTTTGTTACGGCAGTTACAGAAATAACTTTGATTAGCCTTGGAAAAGTTTATTTCTAACGGGAAGCTGTTCAGCTAGATGCTCCTTGGTAAACGTGGCATAACGCGCTCCATGCTTTCCCATGTTAGCGCAGAATTTAGCACTTCGTAGTTTAGAAGTGAAAATTAGGAGTTAATACGGCGCTTAGCATTCTGGGGCCGTAGGAGCTGTGTGCGCCGGGCGATGACACGCGGGGTGAGGCGTTCTGCTCCGCCATCTCAGGCTAAAATTACAGGCAGGCAATTGGCCTGGATTTTGGGGGGGGGAAATGCCAGGCGCCAGCGTTCCTTTGCACACTGATGAATTTTATCCTAACTAAAATCAATAGAAATGAACGGAAGGGGTTTCATAATCCATTTTGATCATTTTACATGTCAAGTTAGCACAGGCTTGCCATGTGTTGATAAATGTTCCGACAGAAAAAATGCTATATATTTTCATTGTCGGTAAATCAGTAAAGCTGTTATCAGTTTTAACGCAATTTTTATAATCTCCATATTATTTTATAGGTTTTAATTTACACTTGTAATAGGGATATTCCAGCACGGCGATGTGGCTGTGCTGAGCACAGGCGTTGTGTACGTGCGGCCAGAGTAGGTCCCCTCCGCCTGTCCCCGCGGGAGCAAACAGGACCGACACCTCCAGAGTGTAATTACAGAGATTACGCGTTTTATCTAAGCTGTGGTGTGTGAGTAATATGTCAGAAAACGTTTGCTACCATCATCTTTGTCCCAGATGTTTTGCGGCGCTGAGACTGCCTTGGGTCGTGCTCCTCAGTTTGCTACCGGAGGCAGAGCCGAGTCGCGCGGGAGTTTCTCGGGAGCGGTGCTTTTGGGTCCCCTCGCTTCGCGCCCTTCCGCCGCTGAATGCTCAAAAACTCAGATTTACTGCGACTTACGTTCTCTTGCGCTCCACAGCCTGTTTTAGAAATACGATACGGAATTTCATAGCACCATTAATATTTAAGCGTTGATGCCTGAGCTGGGTGTTTCCTGTGTCAGCGGGGAACTGATTGCATCTGGTGAGGGGAGAAAGCCCTCTTCGGTGGGGATGAATCTTCGCTGCCGAGTACGGGCGGTCTCCCCTGGCTGAGGCAGAGGGGGGTTCGCACTGGGAGCTGTGCTCAGCCTCAGGGTTTTAGTCCTCGTTCCCCTGTTTAAGCAGTCGTGTCCCCCCCCATTTTGGCGTGCCTGTGCCCTGCCTTCGGGATCGATACTCCCTTCCCGCAGAAGCTGCCGCCGAGGCAGGCGTGTGCCGGGATAATCTCGCCTCTTCTTATTTTGCAAATAAAGGCAGAGATTAAATTTTGCTCCCCTGAGCAAGCCGTTAGCTCGCTCGGTTTTTTCACAGGAGTCTGCTGGAAGGGCTGTCACGTATGTTAGATTATCCAGTGGGATATGAGCGGGGGGGCTGGTCTCTGCGCAATTTGGGGAAGTTTTAGCTGTGGATTTAACTGACGTTGATCCCCAGCGAATGCCAACCTCGGCCACCGCGCTTTGGCTGCCTCCTCGGAGCCGCGGCAGCCGGAGACTGTTCGGTGCCGCTCGGCAGGTTGGGGCCGTGCTAGATCTTGGCAGGATCCGGCAGGTGAAGCTGTTTCCACCCCGGGATGCTCCGAGCCGTGCCGGGCGCTGCCCTGGCCCCACAGATGCCCGCAGTGGGGCAGGGCTGGCGCTGGACGCCCGTCGCTGGTCCTCCTCCACCGGCTTTATTTGACTCCACACGGCAAACTTGGTCCTGTCTTGCCAAGATACCGTAATCTGTTTGTCCAACTGATGTAAATGTAATTAGGTTGATGGGTAAAGCCGAGACGAGGGGAAGGGAGTTGGGTCGGTGTCACCCGCCCGGAGGGTCCCTCGCGGAGGCAGCCTGCCTCCCGCCCTCCCCAGAACAAACACGGCCCTCCCTGCCTCCAGTTG